CCATATATTCAAAGTCAAAGGTAACAGCTCTAGGCATATCTTCAACCACTTTATGCATTTTCCTATTGTGTCCCTCAGTTCATTATTGCAAAAAAAGATCGCATTCTCCAAATTGATGTGCTTTCCAACGTTGGGTAACAGGGCGTGGCGCATTGTGGCGTGAACACATTTTCGTGGCTAATCTTTGTTTCAGCAAAAAGACCTAAGGTGTGACTGGGAGTTGAAGGAGCCATGCTTTCAGGCCCAGAAGTCACGGGCAATGGCGAAAACCTGTCCGTTAACTGGGCTACATTCCCATAAATGACAGCGTCCAACTGGGGAAACCACCAAGGCGGCCGTCAAGATAATATGTGCCTTTTGGTTCCTCCCGCCTAAATTATGTGCATGGTGTGGTAGGCCTAGTGCCTGTCAAATAAAAGTCCATAGTGAATAGGCATTTTTTTAGAAAGAAAAGGAATATTTATCTTGTAATCTCAAGACCCACTGTCTTTTTCGACCGGTCACTTATAAAGACAAAGTTCACTCAACTTTGAAGCAGTCGCGCGGAATTTATGTTGGTAGTTGGTAGTTTTGATTTAAATTATTTGCAATTTCAATCACAATTGAAATTGAAAATACTCACTTTCCGCGAAAAGAAAAGTTCTCTAAAATTCTGAGGCTTTAATGCGGACGAAAAGTATTCGGACGAGTACGCCCGATGTGACGCAGTAACGTCACATTGGCTGCTGGAAAACAAAAGCGTGGGTTGTCCTCAGCAATCACAACCCGAAAATGATTATTCCTCGTCAGAAGGTAACAGATGTATATTTTCTGTATGAATTCGAAATACTGGAACATTTTTAGGGAATTAAAACCTACGGAATTTGCTTTTCTTTTGCACTCTAACACAATGATCCCACTGGTAGATGAGTTGTGGTGACCGGCAAATAGAAGCAACCACAGCCATTCTTCATTGTTTGGATTTGGTCAGTAGCCGTTTAGCCTACATGTGATTGGCTATTGTAACATCCGTTTGCGAACTTTCATCGGTTGACAATTATTACCATAGAAAGCAATTATCCCTGTAGTGTAACTAATTACTCATAAAAAGCTGTTGATGTTGTCGGTTGATCGTCGTTAGCAAATTTGAATATGATATAAATATTTGGGCCGAAGTACATCAGCCGCTGTGGGATAACCGCGCAATATTTACAAGCCATAAACAGGCAGTCAGTAAGATAACCTCTGTAATTATTTACCACGCTGGCAGCACAGTGACCAACAAGTCGGAGTTCGAGGTAAGCATGACTATGACACTTTTACAGTAGGACATCATGGTCAGTTTGGTAATTGGTTACCACCAGTCCAAAGCCATTAGCTATGCCGAAGTCACTGTGGTGACCATTTTTGTTAATATAAATACCTCTAATGGTAATGGGGCTGAGCCCTCTGCCTGCTAAAAAAACATGATGATAGGGGATTAGAATAACCCCACAACTTAGCAAGTTTAGATCTGAAGAATTCTCCTTCAGCATTTGAAAACTAATATACATCGGACAGGATAACTTCCGGTCAGTTATTCATTAAAATAATGGCATACCATGGATTCAGCGGTATTTTCAACGCAGTGTCAACGGCGAAAAACGTTCTGGAATACCAAATACCTGATTTGGTCCAAGCTGTAAACACAAATTTACTATCAACTCACTAGCATACGGGGAATTGAATTCATGCTGTTTTGGTTTTACGCACTACTTTCTAATAACGAAAATTAAAAACCCGTGTATTTTGAGGCACGTGATAAAATTTGACTGAAGCACTAAAAGTAATGTATTTAATGCGACAGAAGACAAATATTATGTAGCAAGATACAAAACACTATCGGAAATAATTTAAGTTTCTGGTTTAACGTTGAAATGGCGTCATTTTTGCAGACGTCAGTCGCATTTTTTCCTATTGGGCTGAGAATAAGTGACGCCGCCATCCTCATCAACGCTCGTTACCTGCTTTTTAAGCCGTTGCCGACATTTCTTAGACAATCTGTTATCGCAGGCGTCAAAGGTTACTATTTATCCTGCAGCCGTCTGGTCTGATTTTGATGTCATAAGGGACGACTATTTTATTAGGATGTGAAATCGTTAGTCACCTGGGAGAACTTTTGTTCGTCGCCAATTGATAACTACTTATTTTAGATCTGTTTTACGTAAGTAAATGTAAATCGAAAAGTGTCCTACTTTTAATACACTACGTGTTGATCCAATGTATAGCGGTCGGCTAATATACGCGGTTGTACCCAAAAACGCTAATTACTTTCTGTAAGCAAACAGCTTGAGAGTGTTGTCTCCTCCTACTAGGTCTGTCCACCATACACTCTTCCTACTCAGTTAGCCAAGTAGGTTTTATAAGAAACCATTGCGGCGGACAGACTGT